TATATATGCTCAGTTGGCAGTTTACTGGGTACAAGCTAAAACTAATGGCTTTGAACTGTACTGCATTATGCTGACAGCTGTTTTATCTATATCAATGAGCCTAGTCTGAATAACAGAGACACCTCTGTATAATGTAATGCAGGTCAACAGCAGAACCAGCTACAGCCTCCAGCATGACCACAACACCTCTCTGAAACAGTCTGAACAAAACCTGAACATGATACCTTCACGCAGGGAGGATTTACTGGAGGACTGTTGGATTAGACTGCATTCATTTTTGCTAGGTGTACCTAATAAACTAACAGCTAAGTGTATATCAGGGGCAGGTTGTTTACAGTTGAACTTTTAACTTGACAGCAAAACAACACCAGCTCAGGTGCAGTGCAGAACCGCACACCGGCCATCATATGTGCAGATGCTGATTTGACAAGACACTGTTATCAGCTGGGCTCCAAAACCAAGGCAGTGACACTAAACCAGATAGTAAAATGGTGCTGGAATTACTCAAAAATTTTTCGTTTATTTATTTAAAAATGTTCAAATTAGTAATGATTCAGAATTAATGTTTTTTCAGGATACATAGGGAGGTCTCCTACTATTCTCCCTTCTTCTTCTCAGGGTTGTCTCTCCATATGCAGTAGTTGAGGGAGGTGGCGAGGCACAGCCAGGACAGGTAGGGCACCATAAGCAGAGTAGCAGTGCGGCTGATGGGATACCAAGACACCATGGTGGCTCCGACAGTCCCAGTAAGGAGCACAATCTCAATCAGTGACTAAATTGGGCAGAGAGAGGGCATTTATTGGACAATAATTGAGCTGTCAATCTCTCTACACTTGCCACAATCTTTCCACATGATGTCCCCATTTAAAAAAACTGACTTCAGACATACCCATGTCAGCTTGTGTGCACCAAAGAAAATAGGAGTCCAGGACCAGTTCAGGGCCAGCTGTAGCCCATAAAGTCCCAGTGGAACCAGTGCATCCTCAGTGAAACCTCCAAGTTCTTTCCACACCAGGTAGGAGCCGTACCTGCAGACAAAATTCACAGTAGGATCATTTAGACAAGGAAGCTCCAATACAGAAAATAAAAGCCTGCAGGACACAGTTGTAATAATCCTTACCCCATTCCTGTATACAGACATGTCCACACTACTGGGAATGCTGCATTTGGTGGGCGCCATGATGGTTTCTTAAGCGTTGGGTACCAGGTGTTCACTTCTTTGCGTGTGATGTAACCACCGTAGAACCCTCCCAGGTGTGGCAGGGTGGTCAATCCAATCATAGGCAGCCACATGTTCTGCAATGAGAGCAGGACACACCATCACTGTTGAACTTCGTCTGGCAGAGTAGTAGTAGAGTATTTTATGTGTTCCTTATAGTTACATATTTAGAAGGCACAGTGCAACAGCATTCATTTGGAATCACACAAGTCCACTATTCAACATCTT